ATTGAGAGCTAGTCATTTACTTGCGAAAAAATGAACTTTCCATCTCCGTTAGATACTGAGATGCATATAAAACAAGACCAAGGTTAACAGCATAATCATCATAAAACTGTAATCGGTATATACCTAACAGTAGAGATCTTTAGGAAAATGTGTTGGTTCTCAACAAATTCAGAGGTTTCGAAAACTTAATCTCATTGTAAGATAAGCATGTCATCAGATATCATATGTAAAACCAGTATCTTAATCGATTCCATCTGTATGATTTGTTCGTCGTAACAGACGGAAATATTTCTTTACCGTTTTGTGCGGTGTTTATGTCACGCCTTTTCATATATATATATATATAGCACATGTACGTCTATATATTACTTAATATACATATTTACATGTACTCTGTTCGCTGCAACATAAAATAAAGTTAACAAACTTGTTTAACTTATTGAAAAAGTGGTTACAAATGTTTTTCCAGAAAACTCTTTTGACTCTGAAACGTGTTCTAAATATCGCAACATCGAAAACGTCAAGCAGTTTTGTAAAGAATTGAATTCTCTATCGATTTGCATAGCTTTTGGTTTATTTCAAGAAAATATCTAGTTGAGGAATTACAAAATTTTAACCTGTGATTTTTAATTTTTTAAGAAAAATCTCACTCTTTTCTTCTCTGGTTTCTACATCTTTCTATTTTTTCAAGCTAAAAGGAAAGGAAGAAGTATCCGTTGCTTTTTAATACTCAGTGTATCGGGAATGAATAAGCCTGTAAATCCTTCAAATATGATTCTTTCTTTTCTTTTAAGTTTGACAAACGGTAATCGTTAAAGAAGAATAGCGGTTTTGTATCGTCTCAAATAAGTAGAAGTAATATTTTGCAAAACTAGGTTAAGAGAAAAAATAAAGAGATGTAAATCGCTCAACATTGTGTCATTTCTCATACTTCTTGTAGTGTGAAACAAAACCAATTCAAAGAAAAAAACCAAAACAACAGGAAGTTCGGCACAGTTTAAACACATCATTATATATCTAGTATTATCAGTATTAACATTTAAAATTACATGAAAAAATGAATTAGATAAACGTAAAAGGAGTACAAAATTATTCAAAAATTGTTATTGAATGTTCACCGTATTGATAATGAACAAATTATTGTTGAAGAAGATGCAGTTAAAGATGAAAAGACATTTCTATCATTATGACAATTAAGCAATACAATAATAGAAGTGAGTGAATATAAATATGATCGTTATTTTAAGAAAATCTTATAATTTATTGAACCGACAATAAATCAAGATGATGATGTAAATATAACATTGGCAAAATTAATCTATATATTGTGGAATTTGTATGTTGAAACTTCTAACTGATCCGTTGAGTAATACGATGGTCATCCATCTAGACAAGATAAAGTGAGATTTGAACGTTCTGGAAACTGCTGACATAATTTCTGATCTAACCTAAACATGACATTTATAAAAATCTCTAACAGTGCATTTATATTTTATCAAGTTTATTATCATGTGTTTTTAGTATTTTTTGGTATAGATTAACAAATACAATTTCATTTAATGAAGATCAATGGATAAAATGGTTAAAAGTTGCTGTTGTGATCAGTGCTTTATGTGTTGTTTTAGATGCATATTATCGAAAATGTAATAAAAACAACATACATCTGGTATTCAGCATATTTTATCTCAAAAAAATCAAGTTAAAAATATGATAATTGATATCAACACAAAGCATATGGAACCAGATGCAAAAGAACATTTTGATACAGCAACAGCACCTGTTGTTCTCTCGACTGTCATCCAATCAATCAATGATTATGAACTGGTGGCAGAAGAAACGGCAAAAGTTATCTCATAAGATGAAGTAAAAGAGGAACAATCCGCACAAATTCCATCTTTTGATTACGTAAATATTTTTAATAATAATAACTTAGGATTTAAACGTTCAACAATTGTTTTTTGTTTGTTATATGAATACAATTAAAGCTGGAGATAAATTCTATTTTCAGTTAGTAGAAATAGATTTGATATGTAGTGTCGAATATGATTGAACAAATGAAAAATATTATTTATCTTACGCCACTATCAAAGAAGAAGATATAAAAACATTCATTGAAAAGCTTGCAAAACCAGAAGATTTTCATACAATGAAACTGACCTGTTCAATCACATTGCGTAAACTATCTCAACGCACCAATTTCAATTAGTCGTCATACATTTTTTATAATGATTTAAGAGCTAAGTATGAGAATGAATTACATGAAATATTATTAATTCATGTCAATAACTATATGTGGAAAATTGAGAAAACATATGATGATGCTAAAAAGAAAGCTATTATATTTGTCAACCGAATGCTACAAAGAAAAATTTTTATTGTGGCAAATGTTGCTCCGTATGGATGCTATAAAATCTATACGGAATTTTCTAAATTTAATTCTTTTATTACAAGTTTGTACTCTAAATATTTTAATAAACAAAAGTCCATTTGTTTTGACAAGCGTCATATTTTTTATCTAATAAACCTTCGCATTCAATCGGGATCATCGACTTTCAGTACTTTTCCTAATAATTTCGCCGTTATTGATGACGACTACTTTTTCATTCATAAATATTTTCATCTGAAACAAAGAAAATCAGGGACGTACGCGATCTTTTAATTTAAGAATAAGAATTAACAAAAAGGATTAATCCTTCAGTAATCAGACTTTTGATCTGTGAAGAAAAACGCGAAGAAAAGATCGCTTGACCGCAAACAAACTCGAGTGGAATAGTTTTGTCTATGTAAGTCATTTTCATCTTTTGTAAAATGTCGGCTACTTATAATTAAACATTTATTTAAAACAGCTCCAAGAAAAGTATTTATAACATCACATCATCTATACTAGGAGTGCATCGGTTCGGTTAATCGATGTTTCGGTTATAACCGATGTTCGGTTATAATCGAATAAACTTTTATAATGTGCTCGATTTTCATTGTTATTGTTCTAGTTTTCAAAATTTGGATGAACTGAAATCAAAATTGCTGACTTTTCGCGCAGATGTGTCGGATTCAAAAGATAAGATGCCTCTTCAAATAACTCGGCAATGCGAAGAGATATCTATAAAGGGAGATATTATACTACAACGAAGAGATATTTCAACTAATAATTAAGGATTCACTTAGTTCTCATTTTGGAGAAGACACTTTGGACTATCTATCTATAGCATAGGCGGCGGAACGTGGAGGCTGAGTAAGGCTCATGCCTTACCTGGATTCGTCCCCGTTAGGCTGAGCCTTATCCAGATTTGACCCGATTCACTCTGTTAGGTTGGACTTTTCCCAGTTCTGATGTATGATAATAATTTTTCCGCGACTTTGATTGAAAAGAATTGGCGAAAGGAAAGATAATCCGATGGTAAAAATTTGAGTAGAAAGATGATTGATTTAACAGCAGTGATGAACATTCTTGAGTACTTTATTGATAAAGTCGACGTTTCGACTCATTAAGAATCATTATCAAGACACAAAATTGAGATATAACAAAATGACACAGAGAGAGAGATGCAACAACTGTAATATTTAGCATTCATTGAAATAAATTGTTGACGAGCAACAATCATGGATCAGACCACTACATAATAGTCGGTCATTTATCAAAACAGTCTGATAAATAGCGGACTATTATGTAGCGGCCTGATCCATGATTGTTGCTTGTCAACAGTTTATTTCAATGAATGCTAAATATTACAGTTGTTACATCTCTCTCTCTGTGTCATTTTGTTATATCTCAATTTTGTGTCTTGATAATGATTCTCAATGAGTCGAAACGTCGACTTTATCAATGAAGTACTCAAGTATGTTGATCGCTGCTGTTAAATCAATCATAGTTCATTTCTTATTTTTGATTGTGCTACTGCTTTAGACAGCCCTAAATAAATGTCATTGAAACGACTCGGTAAATCGATTCTTAATTACTTTACTAAAAAAGCAAAAAATGATGCGCTTCCGCCTTCAGCGGAAGGGACAGCCTCAGCTGTTCTTACTGGTTTGTCGACAAATTCTAACGACCAAGATAGTGAACTGTTATCTTCTAGTCAATAGTCATCTCATATTCACACAACTGGAAAAATGCTTTGGCCAAATTCAAGCTGCACGGAACAAGCAAACTTCATCTTGATTCAGTTTACGTTGTACAACAACAAGCCAATCCTACGGTAGCAATTCAAATGGCATCGTCAGTACAAAGACAACAAGAACAACGAAGACGAATGCTATTGATGGAGATTACTTCTATTATTTATTTACTTCGTCAAGGTCTCGCTCTACGAGGTCACGTGGATGAAGAAAGTAATTTGATTCAACTATTGAAACTTCGAAGTATAGACGATAGTGATTTACAAGACTGGATCAATGATAAGAAATATCTATCTCATGATATTGTCAATGAAATTACTAAAGAGATATCGTTGACAATTGTACGAGATATTGTTAAACAAGTATGTAGTTTTACTTCACTGCTCTACAAAAATGATTGTGTTGTGTCACTACTAATCATCGGTTGAAACATTCATAGCTGAGAAGTTTCAGAATACATTATTTAGAGTGCCTTGTGCGCACTTGTGAAACATCAGTGGAAAAATCACTTCAAATTCTTTATTACGTCCAGTTTTTTTTCAATTCATCTATTTTTGTTGTTGTGTCTAGATTTCAAAACGAAAATGGTTTGCATTAATTTGTGATGAGATATCTGATGAATCAACGACTGAACAGCTCTGTGAATCGCTATTCGAACTGAGAATGATATGTACGAAATTTTCGAAGACGTCATCGCATTATATAAACTAGCTCGACAAAACGCACCAACAATCGTTGAAGCAATTCTTGATACTTTGACACGGTGTGGATTGAGCATAGACAACTGTCGTGGGCAGAGTTATGACGGAGCGTCAAACATGTCGGGTATTTATGCTGATGTCTCAGCATTACTGCTAGAGAAACAACCAAAGGCGTTCTATCTACATTGTAATGCTCATTGTCTTGACCTGGTAGTACAGGATTCAACAATCAGGCATGACGGCGAATGGCAATATGACAAAATGCACGGTCGGGGAGTTTACACATATGCGAATGGAGACAGGTATGACAGCCAATGGCAATATGACAAAATGCAAGGACGAGGAGTTGTTGGATTTATTTCTGCAACAGCAAACTATTACGAAAAGTAAGTAGAATACATTAGCAATAAATAAAACTTATCAAAATAAATTAATTATCTACAAAGACTGACGTGAAATTAATCTAAAATTGCCGTAGTTTTTAACAGTTCAAGGATCTTTGTACGTAAATGTTTGAACTAACATCCAGTTTTTGAACTTTTAGATAATTCTGTTATTATAAGCTTGTCTGATTATTTATCTTGTGCTCTAAAAAAACGTGAACCAAAGTCTGGGATTTTCAGCTGAGTCACAAATTTCACACGATTGTGCAAGAAATGGTTTTTCTTTATTCATTCTTATATGTTGTAATGTTAATGCAGCTATCGGAAATGACAACGTTCTATTATGTTGGGACAATATTTCAACCTTTGACTTCATATTTAGTGGGAATATACCTCTCACTAAGTGCGGGGCATTTGTACTAGCCTCGACTTGTCAAGCAGTTTGATGTTTTCCTCTTCGTACGTCGAGAAAGACACTGCGCTTTCGGTTAAATTACTATTTGATTATTTTCGATCGCTCTATTTGATTGAACAGGTCGCGATGCCATCCATTCTTTTGGTGCATGGAATCATATTTTCGTGGCAGATTTTTGGACCTGCTATGCACAGGATGAATAATTTCTCTTTGCTGCAAACTCAAAAATCGCGAAATAATTTTACATTACGGCAAATACATCCACAGGAAAAGCTAAACTTTTTAAACAACAGAAACAGATAACATTTTTTTCAAAATGAGACGTCTTTTAACTTTTGGAAGTTCTCAGTTGAAATTAAAATTAAATTTAGAACCAGCTACGTAAACATATTCCGTATTATGATAGCTATGTTATAATGACAGATTTATCTCTTGCTAACTGTATCAATAAAGTTAGAGCTAAGAGAACTTCCTGCGACTACGGGTTTTTACTTGGAACTTGCTGCGCTTGTTCTATTCAATCTTGTCTTTTCAAGCTAGGTTAGTTTTAGTCAATCTAGCTAATTCATCATGACTTAAAATTACTAATTCAGACAGTTGAAGAGGAATAATCAGCTCATGATTTGAGATCAACAGTTACATACTAAGATTTCCCTGCTTGTTGATTCACTTGAAAACAGCAAAAATAAATCTTTATTCCGTTTTTTATCTTTCTTTTTCAAAGATAAACGTAAGACTCATTTTTCTTGGTTTTATAAAAATAAATTTGTTTTCATTTAATTATGGTTATTTTCGAAAGTTACATTAAATTTACATCCCTACTTCACACCTTTATGACATCCGTACGCCATAAAATAGACATTTTCGATGGAAAATGAGATTTCCTCTAGAACAAGGCAAGCTAAAGAATGGGGTTTTTTGCCATGAATTTTCGGCAGGAAATGGAAAAAAAGGGTAAAAGTTTGGTTGTAACGGATAAACTGTTTCGGAGTTCAGAACTAAATAATTTTTCAAATATCGGTGGACATTTTGTATAAAAAACAGATTGAATACACGTTTCATGTTGATTTTCAGTTAAATAAAGAGCTCTAGGGCTTTTCTTTTTTTCCCAAAATGTAGAACTCATTACGCTCTATGTTTCTGTCTGTTTTAAAACTTTTTAAGAATCGTCATTAGCATACGAATTCAGTTCTAATTTCAATAGACAGATTTGCAAAATTGTTTTGAAACAAAGGTTTTTGATAGAATCAGATGTAAACCTTGGTCTTGTTTTATATGCATCTCAGTATCTAACGGAGATGGAAAGTTCATTTTTTCGCAAGTAAATGACTAGCTCTCAATAAACAAAATAGTAAACAGAAATTTAAAATCTGTTGAGCGAAATTGCTTGTATAAGCAAAACATTCTCCGACAATCAACCGTACAACGGCTATGCAATTTACTCGCATATTTCTACTTGGAATTTTCCAAAATATCCAACTAGAATGATGTCATACTTAATGCATGATGTAAAAATCGGCACGCATCACTCATTCATTGCAGCTTATAGATATACTTTGCAACAATGATGAACAGATGATAAAGAGAAAATTAAAGATTAACTTTACATTGTAACAATGGTAGTCTTTTATGATCGATTGTGTGCAGCATTTGGTAAGTGCTGTTGTGCTTGCCGTCAGCAGCATGAAAAAAACAATATCCAGAATGCGGTTGTGAAAGATCCAAGCAATCTAAAACTACCAGAAAAGTTTATATAATGGAAATTTATATTCTCGATTTCGTTCTGATTCAAGATTACAGGCTTAATCCAAACCAGAAAAGTCCGTTCGAACAACATCGATTAAACCTGTTACTAAACCTATTGATAAATACTTGATAGGATTCCACTGGACTTCAATGGACTTTAAGACTTCAGGAAACTTCGAAGTCCTGAAGTCCGCTTTTCCGCCCTTGAGCTGATGGCATCGAATCTGGATCTATGTTTGAGAAAAAACGTACATAGATCAACCTCCAATTTCGGGAGATTATCCTTCCGTTTTTAGAAGTTTTCTACGTAACACAGTTCGCTAGATCACGAGGTGCACATTTTGTCAAAAAAGGGACGAAAGAAGAAAATAAACTAGAGAGCAACTGCGCTGCGCACGAGTTGCGATGTCGACAGACTGTATCCGATCTGAATCTGTCAGAAGTGATCCGCAGTCAAGACGGAGTTCACCAAATCACATTTGTTGTGATTTTAGTTGCTTAAAAGATAGATTTAAGAAAAATGAAATGCAAAAGAAATTTGTGGAAGAGACAGAGAATTAGTTTTCCTCTGAAGCACAAATGGCGCCGGACAACTGAATATACGAAAAATATCAAAGTGCAAAAAACATTCTTCTTTCACTTGTGATTCTCAGTCGGGATTTATACCGGGTTTTTGTCGTTAAACTAGGGTGCTATCTATGCTAGACCAAATTTATTCCTATATGAGTAATAGTTCTCTCGTTTGTACTATTTTTGTTGATTTTAAGGTAGCTTTTGACCAATTATGGTGGATTGGTTGCTTAGGAAAACTAGATAGCCTTGGTATTTCTAAAGCGTATATCGCGTGATTAAGTTTTGGTTTGAAGAACGAATGGCCTTTATCGAAATGAATGGAACGCGTTCAAGATACTTTATTAATTTATCTATTAACTATAAAAAGACAGACTTGTTATGGTTAGCCCATGCACTGGACAAGCCTAAATTTGACATATTATGTTATGGTTATAAAATTAATTCGACTAATATCTTTAAGTACCTAAGATATTGAGTTACAACAAGATTAGGTTGGGGTTGTATAATTGCTAAGACTAAAACTAAGATTAGGAAACAGATGGCTATATTGGTCCCTGTCGTGCCTTTGGTTCGACGAGTAACTATTTTAGGTGTGTCTTATTCACTACATTTGTTCTCCCTATATTTACGTGGCTTTTTGCTATCTTTCCCCTTTTCACGCCTAGTCAACAACAGGACCTGACGCATTTTTATTATACCTACCTTAAAAGGGTTTAACATGTTACACAATTAAACGGCATTCTCTTTTCTCATTACCATGACGAAATTTCGTTAGAGGATAGACGTGCAATGTACTGGAAAAGGTTTAGGGATGCACTTCTTATTTCTGCAGATGGTGGTATACTAATGGAACCAGCTTTCTTAAACTTTGTTTAGAGAACAATGGCTCAATAAGAATTATAGCATTGAAAAAAATTTTCGTTCTAAATGATTTGAAGCACATCAGTCTGTGTTTTTCACATGTGCTCGGTGGCTAAAAAGCAGTATCGAATGTTCGCTACCTGACTTAGACGAGGATGATCATAAACTACTTGAATTTTGCCGTGAATCTTTTTTATAGTTCAGTTGCCAAATATATCTAGCGTGTTTCTTTCCTATAAGTTTTCGTTTTCTTTTTTATATTGTGTATTCTATTTTTAATATGTATTAATTAATTTACAGAAATTCTCATGGTATTTTATTGTATTTTGTCTTAATAGGCCCACAAACGGCAGTAATAAAGCATATATATAGATAAAGAATTACTAAATAAAAACTGCAACCGAATAAGACTAAAATTTGATAAAAATATTACTAATTTTATTAGATTTGTGGTAATATATAATATTGATTTGAAATCGTTCTGTCTTACCTAATTTTTAGATCTTTAAGTTCGCTTTCTCTAAATTTTTACTGCCATAAAGCAAAACATTGAATACTAAAGTTTCTTCCTTATAATAAGAAAAACGTTCTATTCTTAAAAAAGCCTAAATAGTATGACAGTAGTATTAACTATAAAAGAGATGTTCACTTTCTCCTTTAAATATGTTATTGCTAGCTTGATAAATGAATAATCTTTGGAAACATGGCGGTGAATTGTTTTTGAAGAAGTTAGAAACAATTAGAACAAAAAATCAACCGTGATACATATAACCTATCTGTAGGGATTATGGAACTTTCGTCACACCACACTTTCGTCATTATGACGAACGCACTTTTGTCATACATGACGAAAGTTCCTTGGGGGGAGGTACTCCTCGGGAACTGTCGTCACCAAAGTGTGAATTTT